TGTATATATACCACATCTTCTTTATCCATTCATCTGTCAGTGGACATCTGGGCTCTTTCCACAGTTTGGCTATTGTGGACATTTGCTGCTATAAACATTGGGATGCAGGTGCCCTTCGGGTCACTATGTTTATATCCTTTGGATAAATACCTAGTAGTACAATTGCTGGCTCGTAGGGTAGCTCTATTTTCAACTTTTTGAGGAACCTCAATACTGTTTTCCAGAGTGGCTACACCAGCTTGCATTCCCACCAACAGCGTAAGAGGGTTCCCCTTTCTCCACATCCTCTCCAACACTTGTTGTTTCCTGATGTTAATTTTAGCCTTTCTGACCAGTGTGAGATGGTATCTCATTGTGGTTTTGATTTGTATTTCCCTGATGAGAAGTGATGTTGAGCAAAAGTGCTCATGTGTCTGTTGGCCATTTGGATGTCTTCTTTGGAGAAATGTCTGTTCATGTCTTCTGTCCATTTCTTGACTGGATTTTTTGTTATTTTGGGTGTTGGGTTTGATAAGTTTTTTATAGATTTTAGATACTAGCTCCTTATCTGATATGTCATTTGCAAATATCTTCTTCCAGTCTGTAGATTGCCTTGTAGTTTTGTTGACTGTTTCCTTTGCTGTGCAGAAGTTTTTATCTTGATGAAGTCCCAGGAGTTTATTTTTGCTTTTGTTTTAACCAAGTGATTTGTTCTGCAACTTGGTTTTTCATTGATGGTGAGGACCAGGAGTTGACAAGCTGTGGCCCCCAGACCAAATTCAGGCTGCCACCAAAAAATGTACAGTCTTCAGCCTAAGAATGACTTTTACCTTTTTAAATGGCTGGTAGGGGGTGGAGGAAATTGTGTGGAGCCTGGAAATCATATGAAATTCAAATTTCAGTGTCCATAAATGAAGCTTTCTGGAAGGTGGCCACACTCTCTTGTGTATGTGTTGGTCTATGGCTGCTTCTGTGCTACAATGACAGAATTGAGTGTCAGCTACACAGAGCCATGAAGCCTAAAATATTTACCATCTGGCTCTTCACATAAACAAGATTGCCAACCCCCTTTATAGAATAAACTTCAGACCTACTACCATTCAAATTATGACAAATTCTGAACTCCTGAGTCGAAAAAGAAATTTGTTCTAGTTTAAATAAAAGACAATTTCAGAGTGCCTGGCTGGCTCAGTCCGTGGAGTGTGTGACTCTTGATCTTGGGGTTGTGAGTTCAAGCCCCACATTGGGTGTAGAGATTACTTAAAAAGAAAAAGACATTTTTATTTCTATTCTCCTATTTCCATTTCTATTCCAAAACTCTACAGAAAAAGTGGGCACAATTGTCTAGATAAGACTCATTTGGTATCAGTAGCATAAATTATATAAAATTTGGAATCTCAAGGAAACTAAACATCTGTCTGTGCTTTTGTTTACTTGAGTTCACCTAACAAATGCTTTTCCTTTATCCTAACCATGGACATAAGCTCAGGCCCAGGAAACATTTGGCTAATAGAAGGAAACCTGGATACGAGCTCCGGACTCTGTCCTGTTATGTCATTAAGGTGAACTCACAGCAGGGCACCTGGGTGACTCAGTCGGTTAAGTGTCTGCCTTCGGCTCCGGTCATGATCCCAGTGTCCTGGGATGGAGCCCCGAGTTGGGCTCCCTGCTCAATGGGGAGCCCGCTTCTCCCTCTCCCTCTGCCACTCCCCCTGTTCATTCTCTCCCCCTCTCTCTCTCAAATAAATAAATTTTTAAAATCTTTAAAAAGGTGAACTCACAGTGAATGTGAGCACTCTGCCATCTGCTTTGGAAGGACTCACTTTTGGCATTACCCTAGACAGTACTAGTTCTTGGGAAGTAGGAATGGCCCTTCCTATCAGGGCTGGCTTCATGAGCATGTGACTTGTGCAGTCAGCGAGGCCCATGCTTGGTTTAAGCTTTGCTGTCACCTCTTGAAATTCTTCAATGATTTTTGAACAAGAAATTCTACATTTGGGGGACGCCTGGGTGGCTCAGTCGGTTAAACATCTGCCTTCGGCTCAGGTCATGATGTCAGAGTCCTGGGATCGAGTCCCGCATCGGGCTCCTTGCTCAGCAGGGAGACTGCTTCTCCCTCTCCCGCTCCCCCTGCTTGTGTTCCCGCTCACTCTCTCTCTCTGGCAAATAAATAAATAAAATCTTTAAAAAAAGAAAAGAAATCCTACATTTGGGTTTTATATCAGGCCCCACAAATTGTGTAGCGGGTTCTGTTTCCAATAGATGGTTAAATACAGACAACTGCATTTCAGGAAATGTGAAAGAAAGTTCTTGCACAACGAATTTTTTGTCCATACCCACATATCCCATGGAGGTAAATGTAGGGCAGGATCCTGTAGACCAGATTTTGCTTTGTGTCACCTACAAACAATGTGAATTAGAGGTAGATGCCTAACTCCTCTGAGCCTCTTTGTTCTCAGCCGCAAAATGGGGTGATAATATTTATTCTGTCTCAGGGGGCTGTTCTGAGGATCAAAGGAGGCAATGTAGGTGACAGCATGCACTTAGTAAACTGTGAAGCCTTTGTAGAAATACAAAGCCTTTCCTTATGTGAGGATAGATCAAGGAGATGCCACAGGAAGGGGAAGATTCCAGGAGGTACCCTATGGAGCTCAGAGCTGACCTTATCACTGTTCTCCTGCTGTTCCTTAAAGCAATCTCACACTGCAACCCATGCAATTTCAAAAAACCAAGTCATGCTCATGTCACTGTCCTGCTTAAATCCCATCAGTGGATCCTTTCTGCTCTTAGGATAGGGCAGGGGTCTTGCATCAGTGACCTGGGGCCCTGAAGTCTAGGTCTCCTATATGCTAAAAAGGACCCCAAATAAAGAATAACCTGAATAAATGGTTTGTGAAAACAACCGAAGAAGGGCCTGGGTCACAGATGTTCTCTCTAAATCAAATGGATGGTCCAAGCATATTGTTCACCTTGCCTTTGAGACCCAAGAAGGAAGGAGCCAGGTCTTATTCCTCATCTAGGACCTAGAGCAATGCCTGGTCTAGACTGGACATAAGAGAAGTTAAATGCTAGACGTGGAAACAAGAAGCTTGGGGTCATATCTTCCCCTGCCACCTATTAGGGCTGGGACCTTGGGCAAGTCAGTGAGCCTCTAATTCTTCTCCAAGTTGCTGTGAGGATTACGTACGGCATGGCAAAGAAGTGTCTGCTCCAGTGCCTGGCATGAGGTAAGGAGCCAGTATGTGGTAGGTGCTATTCAACAAATTATAGGATCTAGAGTTGAGTGTGTCAGTAGCAGTTACCTTACTAAAGCAGTTTGTATTTTTAGAACCCTTATATTGTGTAGGGAATCATCATTTTACCTATAAATAATACACAAATGTACTTGAATATAGTCAAGATTATTATTGTTAAATTTCTTTACGGCTAGACCTGGAACTTCTAAAGGTAATTCAATTTCAGATTCTGATTTTTGTTGCTCTATCATTTTTTTGCACCTCTTACTTGTGGTTAGTTTTCTAATGAATGTTTATAAATAATAACTAAGTCACCTACTTTTAAAAACCCCAAAATCTCCTTTTTCAACTTACCCTTCTATATCTCAATTCAATTCCCTTTAATATTTCACACCCTTAGTCTCTCAGGAGGTTATAGGGCTGTTTTGTAATGGTTTGTTTTGTTTTTCCAAAAGGGCAATCCCTGAATAAAATGGGGAACACTGCATAATATTTCTGAACACACCTCCTAGGGTCCACTTCTAGAGAACACCCAGTGATCTCAGAGTAAATCATTTTTTTCCAGAATCCCTTATGGTGGCCCCATCTAACCATTTTGGAGACATGAACCCTTTAATCTATTTAAAGCAATTGATACCCTCCCCAGGAAAATGCATGAAAAATTTTGCATGCACTGTTTTTCCCAGAGAGTTTATGAGCCCCATGAAGTCCACCCATGGTAGCCTTAAAGATGAGTGGTCTCGGGCGCCTGGGTGGCTCAGTTGGTTAAGCGACTGCCTTCGGCTCAGGTCATGACCCTGGAGTCCCGGGATCGAGTCCCACATCGGGCTTCCTGCTCAGCGGGGAGTCTGCTTCTCCCTCTGACCCTCTTCCCTCTCATGCTCTCTATCTCTCATTCTCTCTCTCTCAAATAAATAAAAAAAAAAAATTTTTAAAAAAAAAAAAAAAAAGATGAGTGGTCTCAGGGTGCCTGGGTGGCTCAGTTAGCTAAGAACTGACTCTTGGTTTCAACTCAGGCTGATCTCAGGGTTATGAGACCGAGCTTAGCTTGGAGTCTGCTTGGGACTCTCTCTCCCTCTGCCCCTCCCCTCTGCTCTCTCTCTCTAAAATAAATAAATAAATCTTTAAATGCTGAAGTTCTTCCTTTTTTTTTTTTTTTAAAGATTTTATTTATTCATTTGAGACACAGAGATACAGAGAGAGAGAGAGCATGAGCAGGGAGAGAGGCAGAGGGAGAAGGAGAAGCAGGCTCCCTGCCAAGCCAGGAGCCCGATGTGGGGCTTGATCTGACCTGGGATCATGACCTGAGCCGAAGGCAGACGCTCAACCATCTGAGCCGCCCAGGCGCCTGAAGTTCTTTCTTTAAAAAAAAAGATGAGTGGTCTTGGTTTTAATCTCTACCCTAAGATATTCATTACTAGTAAAAGTTTAATGTATACCCCTCCAACCTCTCCACCTTCCAGATGTATATGCATTTTAACAGGAAGAAACTTGGCCTAACTGAAGAGACTTTGGACTGGTGGAATGTGATTTTTAAGCTCTAGCAACAAGTATGCAGGAGAAAAATTTGGGACCAAGAGCAAGCCATTACTTATTATTTATTTATTGTGTGGTATATTTACTTTTTTGAAGTTTTCAGACACAATTATGGTTCCATACCAACACACCCCCAAAGCCCCATATCAAGGATTGAATAGCTAGAATCCTGCCTAAACAAAGTTTGTAAACCAGAATCATAAATGTAAAAAAAGATTGCCCAAAGGTTAACACGCTGCTGTTTTACAGGATGAAAACTCGTATTATATCAATGAAGTGAGAGCCTATTTGACAGTCTCAAATCCAGGTAAGTCGTTAGAGAAGGCCATTCCACCAGCAATGACTCTGTACCTCGGGTTAGCTCATTTTTCAGCCCACTGAATTTGCTAATCTTTGATGCTGCTTTGGAGAAACAGACTGAGAGAGGAACCAGGAAAATGCACTCTATCTTTGTATGCTTCCGTTTGCTCATCTGCTCATGAAGGAGGCGGACTACATTATGTCAGAGATCATTATCAGCAACTCTAGAGAGTTTTGTGACTTTGGGACAGATTTGCTAGTGATGGTGCAGTCTCTTCTGAGCTCCTGGAATCATGCATTCATTCTACAAAAATGTGGATAGTGCCAGCTATGTGCCAAGCCCTGTAAGAGGCAGTAGAAATCCATATTATCCAAACATATGGTCCCTGCTGTCATGGAGCTTACATTCTAGAAGTGGGGAGAGGACCACAGACAGGCACATTAAATTATAATAGACAGTTAAGTAGTGTTAAGTTCAATGAGCAAACACAAGCAGGTTTGGGGGTCGGGGAGGACTGGAAAGATATTTTTAGGTAGGGCCTTTGGGAAGCCCTGAGGAGAGGAAGGCCTCTCTGAAGAGGTGAAGTTTGAGCAGAGAGATAGCCCCATTTGGGGGCATCTGGGTCTGGGGATGCTTTTTTCAGGTGGCAGGAACAACAGATATACAAGTCCTTAGAAGCGAACATGCGCGTGTGTTCGGGGAGCGGCTAGTGCCACGTGTGCCCGAGAGAGTGAGCAGAGTAGCAGATGAGGTTTGAAGGGCATCCAGGCCAGAGCATGTAGGGCTTCTGGGTAAGGCAAGGTGAGGACTTTGGATTTGAGTTTAAAGTATGAAAGGATGCCATTGGAGGGTTTGGTGTAGGGAAATGGTATATCAAATTTACATTGATAAAGATTCAGTTTGGTTGCTGTATAGAGAATGGTCCACAGTGGGGCTAGTTGAGAGAACTCCTGTTAAGGTTTCCATCTAGGAAAGTAATGCTCCCAGTCAAGTTGGGGGAATTTCTCAGAGGGCTCAAATGTTTCTCTGGAAAGCCCAGCCTTTGATAATAAACCATTGCCAGGCACCTTCTCTGTGCCAGGTACTGTACGAAGAATTTTCATGTCTGTTTTCTCCTTCTTAAAATTCTCTTTTGACTGGCTTAAGCTTATCTTATTAAGGAGCCTATACTAAAGAAACTTGCCAAGAAATGAAAACGTGGAGAAATGTCTATTTAAAATACAAGATATATTTTATTGATATTGTTCAAGAGGATGCTGCCCATGATTATTGGTTAAAAGTAAGTAAGATGTCATAGTTGACAACTTATTTTCATATATAGTACCTCACTTAGACAAGTGTACTCATAGAGGCTGGGGAATAAAATATTGTGAATGCTAACATAAATTAGCTAATGTTATCACAAGACATGGCCTAAATTTTAGCCAGGAGTAGGGTAGTAATGTCTCAAGAGGAGGGGAAGGGAAGGTCAGACCAGCTAAGTTAGAGGCTGAGAAAGGGGATAAGACAATTCTAGGTCCTAAAAATCCAGGCTCAGCAGTAGCAGTAGGAGCTATAGGAATCACAATGATGATAATTTGCACGTCAGTGGTGGCGGGGGCGGCATTAGTAACAGTAGTTAGTTGTAATTACAGTGGTAATGACTGTTGTAATGTTAGCGGGAGTGATTGTAGTAGGCCACCCTGGGATATAACACATGATATAGTGGTGTAGATGGATAATTCAATGCATCACGTAGGACATTTGCACGTACATATGCAAGAGTCTACAGTAAATAGTACAGGGATGGGTGGGAAACACAATAGTGTATTGGTTAAGATAGCAGGCTCTAGAGTCAGACTGCTTGAGTCCCAATACCACTTACTAGCTGTAGGCTCTTAGGCAGATGTTTTGAATTCTCTGACTCTCCATTTTCTTGTCTGTAAAATGGAAACAGCAGAACAGATCTCAAAAGATTGTATGAGAATTAAACAGGACAGGGGTGCCTGGGTGGCTCAGTTAGTTAAGGGTCTGCCTTCAGCTCAGGTCATGATCGCCGGGTCCTGGATTGGAGTCCCACACCCGGCTCCCTGCTCAGCGGGGAGTCCGCTTCTCCCTCTGACCCTCCCCCTTCTTGTGCTCTCTCTCTCTCTCTCTCCGATAAATAAATAAAATTTAAAAAAAAAGAATTAAACAGGACAGTGCCTACAGAGTACTTGCTTGCTTCCTGGCACATAGCAAGCAGACACTTAATGTGGGAGGGAGGCTACCTTAGATACAAGCAAACACACCCACAGAGACAGGAAAGGAGGGAGACTTTCAAGCTCCCTCATTAAGAGCCCATGGGTATTCCTTTCAGGCACAACTTTGGTGAATTCATGAAGGTCCATAGTCTGGTCCTCAATCGCAGGAGCTGTCAGCACTCCCTTATATATTGTCTGTCTCTTCAAGGAGACATTTAAACCAAAGTCATGAAACTGATGTATAAAATCAAAATGTAAACATGTACATTTATTGTGCAACTATTTCTTACAGTAACTGCCAAGGGGACTAGACAGTTGGGTCCTCTGGCCAGTGAACTTTCTCCCATTCAAAAAGCCAAGGTATAATCAGAAAGGTGTGGGGTGAATGTAGAATTAGAGCAAATGGAGTTAATTATATGATTAAAAGGTTTACCCCATCTGCCTTGAAGCATATGCTTCCTTGAAAAGGGTGTACCTGTCATAAAATAGCACCAGTCCTTGAGCAGGTCTTTCACTCCCCAACAGCACTCTGGTGGACAGAGATGGGCCTCTCCCTTCTCTGTGTCCCTATGGATGGATGTAACAACCCCTCCTAATGATGGGATCAGCCTGTCCTTTTGCTATATTAATACAGTCTGGTAACATGCAGATGTTCCACTTGGTGACTGCGTATGTCTATTCTGATCCAATAAGGGTTCATGTGACTGTCACAGAGAGCAATCTTACTTCTCTTATTTCTGAGGTTTTTGTGGGCACGTCTCTGTAGTCCCCAAGCACTGACAATAGTACCCACCAACTCTGCCCCCAATGACTCAAGACAACTGAAGAAAAAGTTCCTAAAAGTTCTCACTTCAAAGTTATCACATTCTAATTTATGTAAGTTTGCCCCCATATACTACATAATACCAGAAAAAAGTCCCTAAAGAGCACCAGAGTGGGTCTTCATGAAGAGAAGGCAGAACCCCCTGAAAGCCACATCTCAATGAAGGCCATTTAACTGCACATGGGCCACCCAGTAACAGTTGATACTCAGTGGATATATGCCAAGTGTCTATATTTCATCCTTGTGTTTTCAGAGAAAATTTACCAAGGAATGAAAAGTTCTGTGGTGATGTTTGAGACTGTGGTTGGGCATTCCTTCAAATGTGTGAGTGAACAGAGCATCCAGCTGTCAACCCACCTTCAACTGAAAACAATGAATGTCCAATATCAAGCCTTTGATTTCGAAGATGACCACTTTGGAAATGGTAAGTCAAGTCTTCATCATGTCACAAACAAAAACTTCAGAGACCCAAGGGTAGTTTCAAGTTGTTTTTTGTGTGTGCAGCTGTCAAAAGGGACAAGAATCACATGAGCTTCCTACAACAGTATGGTTCCACAAAGTTTTTAGGGCCAAGTTTCTCTGGCCAACTTTCCCTCCTGCCATTCCTTTGAGTCAATACCAACCTCAAAATCGGACACTAACTCGTTCATGTCCACGACTCTCCCACAGTAGGATACATTCTCCTGGTATGTAATTCTGACTCCTCAGGAATATTTGGAGACTTTAAAGATCCTAAATAGTAGTCATATCTAAAATTCAAGATTTCAGAATAGATTTTTTCCCACGTGCAGAGGGAAAAAAGAAAGTTGCAATAATTCAAGACAGAAATGTACTCTGTTGGGCCCCCTCTTCTCGATTATGAGCTCAATTCCCCTGGCTAGAGCTTCTTTGTAGTTGGTGTTAGTTTCTATGCAACTTCTGCTTTGAGTTCTAACCACTGCAGAGGGAAGCAGGTCCTAGGCAGAAGGCCAGGGACAGACCAGGGTGACTTTCTGAAAAAGCCCTTTTTTCCCTTCTGGGAAAATGGGTTATAAAGATTCCTAGATATGTCCAGGAATTGAATTTCAGTTTCTAAAACATTCTTCTCATAATAACTAAGAACATTATGTATATCTCTCAATTTTCATAAATAGATTTAGCTAGAAGTTTAGCTGTAAATTAAATTTCTGTAATGTGAATCCAACTTCTCTTTGAGTTCCATTATAAAGTCGAAGATGTGCCTACAAAAACCTTCTGATATACTTGCTGGGAAGCATTGAGCAGAGGAAGGATTAAAGTGTTGCTGGCCCGGATCCCCTGATTTCTGTAGATTTTGTCTGAGTCTTCAAATCTCTGCCTCCGTTTTGGACCTTTACCACAGTGCTAAGACAAAAATACTAAAATTTCTTAGTAGGTGTGGCACCCACTTTGTCATCTGGTCTCAAAACTTCCAATTTGGGGAAACTTAAAAATTCATGATGAAGGTTTGAAAAGCATCTGTAATTCATCATGTGATCTAAAAAAATAAGGTATACACTTGCTCTTCCTCCCCCTCTGAACCTCTGTGAAACAGGAAGTGAGCAGGTGGGAAACCTTGTAGTGGCAGAGGTGAGAAATAAAACCTTTCAGCAACATACACTGGCCTCTCTTAGCAGTGCCCATAGGGACATGTAGAAAATTTATCTTTTCATTTTTTCCCTGCCCTTCCTCCCCTTTTCATATAATTATCAAACTTCCACATTCTCAACCCATTTCAAGGAGCTAAAATCCCAGAGCCTGTAAAATGTTTCTCCAGTACCTGGAGCCCCAGGCTGTCTAGCAGCAACCTTTAAGAAGCAGAGTCTGGCTAGAAAACTTTGGCCATGCAATTTGACACAGGTCTCTGTTGCCAGAGTTGGGAAAACATGGCCCCAGAACTTCCACGGGCTTACGGTTCTGATCCTGACTCTCTAGACCAAACCGATGTTTCCCAAAGTTGGATCTGCCTCCCAGCTACAACAGAATCATCTGGGCCCCACCTCCAATGCACTGAATCGTAATTTCCTGGGTGTGGGGACAGGGTATCTGCAATTTAAGATAGCCCTTAAGTGATCACAAGCACTGCACGCTTCAGATCATCGCATTGACCTTCCCTCGTTTTCACCTACCCGTGTGTCTGAGGCAGCAGGTGTGAAGCCCAGCAGCTCCACTCCACCTCTCGCTGGGTTTCCTTCTCTGCGCGGCTGAGGCAGGCAGGCAGAATCAATTCCCAGCCTTGCGGCCAGCTTGTAACACCTGTTACTCTGACTTCAATTGCAGCGGATGAATGCTTCACTGACAGAAACAGGAGAGAAAACCCTGTGGCCGTGGGCCTGAGTATCGCAATACTGCTTGTCGTTTTGCTAACAGCATGTCTGGTGGCCAACAAGAGGCCCAGTACAGGATATGAACGCATGTAAAGCCCCACCTTCTTCAAAATGTGCTAGGTTAAGGCCTTGGGAATTCTGGCTTCATATTCAGCCTGAAGTAAAGGGATCAATTTTTCTAGTTGCCTATCCCACCCTCCTAATCCGATTAGCAAACCTGGCTTTCTACCGAGGGGCCAACGGAAGGCTACGAAAAGGTAGCCCCCACGGCACTTTCTCCTGTTGCACAGGGAGACTGTGCCGTATGGGCTTGAATTCCACTCTCCACACCTGATAATACAGGGCTGGCTTCGAGAATTAGGGACAAGAGGCGGGGACATGAGGAAGGTGCTTGGGGGAAGGAGAAAGCAAACACCTAAAGGGAGAATTGTAAGAAAGACATTTTCAAACTGCACTGATTTTTCTTACACATTTTTAAGAGTCTCAGTATCCAGTTTTTAAAAAAATTTTAGTTTTAAAAAAACAATCCATTTCGAAATAGAATCTAAAGTGATTTTAAACTCTCGGATTTTGCCCAATTCCTGATTTACTTGAATTACAGAATGGTGTTAATAGACTATTATTTTTAAAAAGACATTATATGCTATTATAATGCATTACTAGTAAAAAAAACTAGATAACTTCCCAACATTTCATTTTTTAAAATGTAAAGCACACACCAAAGATCTTGGCAAACAAAAGAGGCTCCATAAATGTTAGTTCTCCAATTTCTTCACCTTCATTTGTTCTCTGTCTCCTTAACATTTTTTTTCTGCTTTGTCTCTGTTTTTCTTTGATCCTTAGTCTATCCTTGTAAATTCGCTAATTTGGGCCATTGTGGGGAGGGGATGAAGGCAAAGCATCAAAACAATCAGGAATCGCAAACAGAACAGGTAGATCTACCCCAGATTATTACCACTTTCCTCTTAAGCAAACATTACAAAAAAATCATAAACCAGGAGATTCCTGATTGGGAAAGAGTGACATGTGGAGGAAAAATACTATCAAATATGGCTTGGGATGTTATTCATGCTTTTCTATTACATTGTTTAAAGAGGAGAATTGAGACACCTGGATGGCTCAGTCTGTTGAGCCCGTGACTCTAGATCTCACCTCAGATCTTGACCTCAGGGTCCTGAGTTCAAGCCCGGCCTTGGGCTCCTCACTGGGTGCAGAGCCTACATTAAAAAAAAAGTAGGAGAATTGAGGTTTTTATTTCGGAGGAAAGGGAGGGTAATGGGCTTCTGGGTGTTTTTAATTGCTTTTACTAACAGAAGTGTTCTTGTTTTTCTGTATTTGCCAGAGGTGCCATTCATTGTTTTTTGGTGGTTTTTTTTGTTTTTGTTTTTGTTTTTAACAGGAAGTTTATGAAACTTGGCAACAGCTCTATAACCACTGCTTATCTAGGGCATGTTCTGGCTCTCCCTGGAAAGATTTTAGCTCTCTCCACTTTCTCAGAAGTGAGAGGGTGGGGAGGGCACACAGCAGCTTCAAGAGAGCTTCAAGAACCCCTAAGATGTTTGGAGTGTCAGGACATTCCTGTTTGCCCCGTACAACAAGAGATTTTGACGATAATCTAGGCTGTGAGGACCCGATGTTCCCCAGAGGGACTCAGGTTTGCCAGCGAGGGTTTGCTTTGGAGAGATGCCCTCTCTCCCCATCTCCAGCAGGCCCTCCAGCAGGTCCCTCCAGCAGGTCCCTCCAGCAGGCATCCACAAATACCCCGCTCCCCCTCCCGTTTCCAGCTCCGCCTCAAGTGTACTCAAGAGCTTCTATACGGCAGAGCATGAGTTGTTTATTCACCCTGCCACTGACCAGCCTGTAGAATGGACTAAAGAAAGGTTACTCTTCTAGTGTGGGGGAATTTCCATGGGAAAAGACGTGGAGTTAAAAATCAAGAAGAGGGGGATAAGGCAGTTCACATAAGTTCAATTTTCCTTTCTACCATCTTCGGTGAGTTCTTTGGAGTGACAGCTGCTGCTTAGAGTCCTGTTATCTACCCCCACCCCCTACCGCCCCATCCCCCACCCATCCCCGCCGCCAATTATCTTTTAAATTACCGTGAATTAACATTCTAGTAAGCAAAAAGAGCAAAGGTTTCATTTGGAAAACTAGTACCTAAAGCCCGACTGCGTTCCTGCCCCGCAGTTCTGCCCACCTACTGCAATGACTTCCGGGGAGGGTCCCGGATTGCGACTACCACTAGCTGCTGGTCGGGAAGTAGCCTCCTCCGCCCCTGGGTTCCTCTGGTGCTGCCTCCGAGTCCTAGTCTCACGGCTGCAGTTCCAGGGGTCCCAGGCTTACTGCAGAGTGCTGCAGGTCGCTTTCCGGGGCCACCTCTCCCTCCCCGCCCCGGGCAGCCCTTCGGGGGGCCTCAGCGGCGGGCAGTGCTTGCCCCTTGCCTTTAGTGCACCTGCTGCTTGCCCGTCCAGCGGGTTTCAACTCCATTTTTCTCTTCTGCCGAGGGTAGAGCATCCTGAATTCACCCCTCTCTCTACAACCCACCCAGAGATAATAGAAACCTTCACGAACGCCCACCTGGAGATAACCTATCCATTGTTAATTTTGATGTATTTCCCTGGCATGAATATTGTTTTACAAAACTGGAGCATACAGAGTACACAATTTGGAATCCTTTGTTACCTGTGCATCATAAGCATTTCTCCATGCTATTAAAGGTGCAAAGTGTCATTATTACCGCTGCTATGAATACGCTATCAACATTATATAATAATTTACTTAATTATTGTGTTGTTGAGAGTTTTTATTGTTTTTAGGTTTTCACAAATATGTTGTGATTAAAGAATTACATATGAATTACAAAACAGACAAGACATTGATTAACAAATGTGTATAAATGTGTGCCTGAATTTTGGTTTTGCCTCATAAACTGTTAAAATGGTTATAATTTATTCTGCAGTACTGATTCTTAATTTTTAACTGATCTCAGACATGGTGGGAAGAAAGGCCCTAATTTACCCAAATGCTATTAAAGGAAACAGAATGTCATGGATGAGATGCTCAAGAACGAGCAAGATGAGGGCTGTGCCTGGCTGGTTCAGTCCGTGGAGCGTGCAACTCTTGATCTTGGGTTTGTAAGTTCGAGGCCTACATTGGGTGTAGAGATTACTTAAAAATAAAAAGTCTTAAAAAAAGAAGAATAGGCAAGATGAAAATAAGCTCTATGACCACTATGCAAAATTACTGCAGCAAAATAACATAAGAATAATATTAGAGCAAAATATGGCTCCAGAGTTTTAGTTTTGCAAGATGAAAAATGTTCTGGAAATGGATAGTGGTGATGGTTGCACAAAAATGTGAATGTACTTAATGTCACTGAAGTATACACTTAAAAATAGTTAAAATGGTAAATTTTATGTTATGTTACCTTTTACCTCAATTAAAAGAGGGAGAGTTAGAAAGGAATATAGTTGACAAAATACAAAGAAAACATAACTTAAGGAACAGAGAGAAATCCCTGCCAACTGGTCTTTGCTGAGAATCAATAAGAGTGTGAATTCCATATAACCAGAGCTCATGGATGAAATGTTATAATGAAAGAGTAAGGTGAATGGGAGTGAACTGATGGACACTTCATTTGTTTTCAGTGTTTTGCTATTACAAATGATGCTGTTGTGAGTAACCATGCACATAAATCATTTCATATACAAGAAGGTGTAACTGTATGATAGATTTATAGACCCATAGTTGTTTAATGCTGTAATGAAAGAGTGAGGTGAATGGGAGTGAACTCCTGCAAGTGAACAAATTGAGTATCAAAGCAACACCCAATAATATATAGAAATAGTAAGAGGCAGAATTGATAGAGCTGAAAGGTGAATTATCTTCATGGAGAGAATAACTGAAATAAGCAGTTAATGCAGATAAAAATTAAGATTATGACATTATAGGGCAGCTGTTAGGTATGGAAGATATTCAGATCAGCTAACGTAAGGATAATTGGCGCCTCTGACGTAGAGAGTTCAAAAACAGAAGGAAGATAAATTTGATGGTTTCAGAGATTTTCCTTAAGATGAATAACTGAAGTTGCACATTGAAAGAGCATAGTGTGTACCAGGAAAAAAACTGACACAGAAAGTTTAGCATTAAGACACATCCAAACTGAGCTATAGAACTTTAAAGATAAAGAACTCTTTGGACATATGAATTCTCCCTCCCCTCTCAAAAGAGCAAATCACCTATAAAGGGGAAAGTTAAAGTTGGTCTCAGATTTCTTTACAATAACATCTAAAGCCAGCAAATAATAGACCAATATCTCTAAAGTCCTAAGGGATAGAAAATGTGACCCCAAAATATTATTTATTAAGGTAATAGGCAGATAACCTCAAACATGAAATAATTCAAAGGATACAACACCCCCCAATGAGCTCTTCTTCAAGATAGTGCTTGACCGTGAAATTGGGTAAGATCAGAGAGAAGCCACATTATAAACAAGGATATAAACAAATCTTTCTCAGGAATAGAGAAGCCACATTTAAAAAAGGCATTTTATCTATTTAAATAGTTAAATATAAAAAGCATTAAACAACTATGGGTCTATAAATCTATCATACAGTTACACCTTCTTGTATATGAAATGATATATGTGCATGGTTACTCACAACAGTATCGTTTGTAATAGCAAAAGACTGAAAACAAATGCAGTGTCCATCAGTCTGGGACAGATACATCCCACAACAGGATACAGTTATAAGTAAGATTGAAAACATACATATTTATGTATGTATAGGAAAGTTACCCAAAATATATTACTGGGGCACCTGGGTGGCTCAGTCGGTTAAGCACCAGACTCTTGGTTTCAGCCCTGGTCATGATCTAAGTGTGGTGATTGAGCCTGGCCTCTGACTCCACCCTCAGCTCAGAGTCTGTTCAAGATTCTCTCTCCCTCTCCCTCCCCCTCCCCCTCTACCCCTCCCTCCACTTGCACTCTCTCTAAAATTAATAATATCTTCAAAATGTATTGTTAAATGAAAAAAAAGCATAATGTACAATGATAGTGAGAAAAGGAGGGAAAAATATTTTTTCATTTTGCTTATATCTGAAACATTGGAAATACATATAAAAAGCCAAATGGTTATGACAGGGGCGCCTGAGATGGGACAAGGGTGAAAGTAGAACTTCCCAATGTACAGCACTTTGTAGTATTTTGACTTTGAATTGTGAATGTGTTATGTGTTTGAAACAATATTTTTTAATCATAGGAATGACAGTTAAATAGAATTGAAATAATGTAAAACCAAACAATGATTAAAAAAATAACTTATCTATTCAAAATTTGAGTTGGGAAGAAGAGAGATAGAAGGGAAACTACTCGTGCTCATCTTTCAAAACACTATCAACAGATAATGTCTAAATTGGAAACACAGAAGATAGAAAACACAGAATGTCTGTCATTTACTTCATAACCCTCTTAATGCATTTCATAATCCTTTAGTGTGTATTTATAATCTCTTTTTTGAACCTTAAGGGGATCTTTTATGAAACAATACTTCTTGTGACAAAGATACATTTATTTGAAGTTTGGTAGCTGTCCCAGTTTTGTTTTAGCTTTTTTTCTTCTATGAAATCAAGTTAAATGAAAATCAGCAATTTTGGTAAAATAGCACTTGCATGATCCTGTATTAATACAAGTACTTGTATTTATTTTTCTACCCATCTGTCCTTGTAGTTGTAAAGAAAGATGCCTGAAGTTATATTGGTTCATGTTTTAGCAAGGATAATTTCTGGGTGGGTGGTTTTCAGGTGATTGGTTTTGTAAGGAGCCCAGGGGAGGGTGGCCCAAAAGGTACCACAATGGCATATTGATTATTTTGAATTGAAGCGTCTTGGGAAACAAGGACATTCATAGATCCTCCTCTGTCACCCTGAAAGCAGGAAATAAATCTCCCATATGAAAGCTACCCTCCCTGTACTAAGAAGTAAAAAGACATCCTTATCACCCGAGAAAGGATCTTTAAAACCAAGAAAGCTATAGAAACAAACCCTGTTACTTTTTACTGATCTGCCATATCAACACAAATTCCACTTAGAATTCTTATTAATTAAAACTCCCGACATCTGTTTTCTTTATCCTGTCAATTCCTCACAAATGTGTTATCTCTTTTGTCTAAAATGTATCAAAACTGCCTGCCTTGGTCATTTCTTTGGGTGTCAATTTCATTATTGGCCCTCTGTGCACACATAATAAAACTTAGGTTTTTTTCTCCTATTAATCAGTAATTCTTAAACCAGTTGGAGGAATCTTGGAGGAAAGAAGAAATTTCTTCCTCTCCTACAGTTTTTACTTTTTTGTGAGCTTTCGTAAATCATCTTAATTATCTATAACGAGAAAATACCATTTTAAAAAAAATGGAATAATGTTTCTTTACGCATACACGTGAGCACGCATATGTACAGAGGAAGCAAATGCCTTCAAGGTTTGCAGTGATTCATTCAAGTGGAAGGACTGCGGTGATTAGATAATTATTTTCTTTGTGTACTTTTTTCTACATTTTAAAAACATTTAAGCAATGTGACATTAAATAGTATAAAACTTTACAGAGAGTAAAAGTTGCTCTCTATGCCCACCCCACCCCTTGCCCAGCATCTTGCCTCTTTTCCCTTCAGGCTCACACGCACATTTGTTTGGGTTCATGCAAACCTCCGCAGATCTTAGCGAACCTCTCTGTCAGCACACTGAGATCTACCACCTTCTTTGAAGTGTCTACTTTATATTCTACTGTATGGATATGCCATTTAAAATCCTGGATGGATATCAAGGTTGTCCACTTCGTTCTCATAAAATGAGATTATTGTAACATTTCTTTGTGTAATTACATGAATATGTCGTTAGTGTAAGTTCCTGGTGGAATTACTTTAGGGTATGTGTTTCACATTTTGTTTTAATATTTTTGTATTTTTTTCAAATCATTTTAATCAAATTAACTTCTTAATTTGTCAATATTCTTTTTTATCCAAGAAATACACATTTATTAATATGTATCTGTAACAGGGGCGCCTGGGTGCCTCAGTCAGTTAAGGGTCCAACTCTTGATTTCAGCTCAGGTCATGAACTCAGGGTCGTGGGATTGAGCCCTGTGTGGGGCTCTGTGTTCAGCGGGAAGTCTGCTTGAGATTCTCTCTCTCTCTGCCCTGCCCCCACCTCATATGTGCGTGCTCTTTCTCTCTCTTAAGTAAATAAATCTTTAAAAACTATATATGTAACAAAATTGTATACTCCAAAAGGGCTTATCATGAAAAGCAACATTTCCCTCTCCTTCCTCTAAGAGACAAAGTACTTTTAACTAATTTTAATAATTTCTTATGGTAACTATCTCAAAAATTCTTTTTAAAAATGTTAAAAAGCTTTCTTATCTCTTAATATATTAGCTTTAAACTACTTATTACGGCAGATAAGGATTTCATTCTTACACCATTCCTTTTATGGTTATATCACTGTTTTTTGCTAAATTAATAAGGTATATAGTATTATAATTATGAAAATATTGTCCACTGCCATGTCAAATAGTGTAGGACAAGCACAGTTCCTGTCTTGTACAGATTTGTTGTTTCCTGGAGTCTCTACCATTCCCTTTCCCCTGGTCCTTCCTGGTTCTTTTTTCTCTGACCTCAGATGAAAATTGATCCTTGGTTCATTTTGATATTGGTTTATGCAAGGATCTCATGGATATATTCTCTTATTTATCCTTTTTCTTTTTCTTATAAAATGTTATTCAAATATTTGAAATTTTGATTAAAAATTTTCTTTGCATATGGTTTAAAACTAAGATGATATGAAGTTTTACCTTACAAATCCTTGCCCTCACCTTGCCACCCATAGGCAATTACTTTTATTGGTTTATCATGCATTCTTATCCTTCCAGGTTTTCTTTAAGTAAATGCAAGCAAATATATCTTCATTTCTTCTTTATTTACACAAAACATTGTAGTACTATATTCATTTTTCTTTGCATTGCTTTTTCCCCCTTGACATATACTGGAGATTTTTCTTTTTTTCTTTTTTATTCGAATTGATGCACAGTGTTACAGTAGTTTCAGGTGTACATCATAGTGATTCACCATCTCCTATGCTATGCTGTGCTCACTGCAGGGATAGCTCCCATCTGTCACCAGACAATGCTATTATAATATCATAGACTATTCCCTGTGCTGTGCCTTTCATCCCTGTGACTTATTCATTCCGTACCTAGAAACCTGTATCTCCCACTCCTCTTCACCTCTTTGTGCCCAGCCCCCCAGCCCCCTTCCCTCTGGCAACCATCAGTTTGTTCTCCTTATTTATAGGTCTGATTCTGCTTTTTATTTGTTTATTCATTTGTTTTTTTTTTTAGATTCCACATATGAATGGAAATCATATGGTATTTGTCTTTCTCAGTCTGACTTATTTCACTTAGCATTAATACCCTCTAGGTCCATCCATGTTCCTGCAAACGGCAAGATCTCATCCTTTTTATGGCTGCATAATATTCCATCATGTGTGTATAGTGCATCTTCTTTATCCATTCATCTATTGGCCCTTATCTATCCTTGAATAAGATATAGATACAGTTCTCTACTTATTTGTGTTCAATCACATTCCCTCGTTTCCTCAGGGCTCTCCATCTTTCTCCAACTGAGACTGATTATATTTTAAATGAACTGAATAAGCACTCTAATGAAATAAAAAGTTTTGACAAATTTATAAACTTTCATTCTTAAGCTCTCATGAATATTTAGGTCTGTTTTCTAATATTTTTAGCTCATTAAAAGCACGTTAAGTGTAGCAAAAATGTTTTACATTTTTTAAAACATGGATAAACATCACATGTTTTCAAGAGATCATGTGTAATCTAACAACAGTCTCTTATGTAAACACGGTCTACTTTGCAGAGAGCACACCTGGAAGAAAACGGGTCTAACAATTATTAAATATCTAATAATTGCCGAGAAGATAAGTTTATCTTATTTAATCCTTCAACAGTTTTACATATTATTTGCTTACTTTATGAATGAGGAAATTGCAAGATTCAAGAACTCATCCCAGTTCACACAGTCAGTGGTGGGATTAAAAGGCAAGGTGCATTGTGTGTCAAGTATACTCCAACTTAAAGAGACCAGTCATATCCTTCCCACTCTAGTCTGCTTTCTGGTCTGTCCTCACCAAACGTTACCCGCTATATTGTATTTTCTCTCTCTCTCTCTCTCTCTCTTAGTGGACGAGTGTTCATCTGACTACACAATTGTGCTTCCTGTGATTGGGGCCATTGTGCTTGGTCTCTGCGCTGTGGGTTTGATTGTCTATGGACTCCGCCTAAGACACGAATCATCTGGATACCAGAGAATCTAATTGGTGCCCTGGGGAAAAGAAAACAATGGGGTTTAGAGAATTCTTTCATCAGTTCCAGGATGTTGGGACGTCCCTTAGAATTAGTCCTTTCAACGACGTAAACCACCATCTTTCACAAAACCCAAGTCATTTCTGATTGAAGTTCAAGCAGCAAATCAATTTCTGCATATTTTTTGTTCATTTTATGAAAGGCCTAGTGAGCTGTTTCAGAGTGAATTCCTGTTTCACAGAGAAAATTTCCTTCAAAATATTTTAACCATTCTAAGTCAACATTTGAGATATGTTAAATTAACATAATGTATGCAAAGTGGTATATGCTTCCAAACTATAAACTAAAATGTCATTTGTAATTAATGCTACCTGTGTACATTGGGGATGTTATTTTATCCTTCATCTTTCCCATTAAAAAAATGCCTCAGCTTTGTCTATAAAATGGACTCCTAGCGCTTTTATTTTCCATGTTTTCTATGATATACATATGTCTGATGACCTACTTGCCTCTTCTTCCACTTTAATTAAAAAAAAAAATCATCAAAAAACCCACCATATCACAGGTTGTCTAGGTTTGATGTGACACCAACAAGAGGAACAAATCAACTTATACTCTTGATGACTCCTGCAGAATCACTAGAGACTAAGAATTCAATGGCTATGGACAACAGAATTCACTAATCAGCAAGAAACAATAGCCCTTAATTTTTGTACGCATCTATGCCAGACACTAGGCTAAGTTTAGATCCATCCCATATAATTCTCACAACTTATAGATGAGTAAAGTCAGACTTGAGGAAATTAATCACCTCCATGTCAACCAGCTCACAAGTGGCAGAGCCAGAATTTGACTGCCAGTTGGTCTGATGGCAAGATCTCTGGCCTTTTCACAGCACGGGTGCACTAAGTGCTGCCTGAAGCCTCACACCAGCACAAGCTCCTTTTTCACAGAGAAATGAATTTCTCCAGAATTATGAGCGATTAGGAGACACGAAAGGAGGACTTGGTGGGTAGTGAAAGAGCTGATCTTTCATAAAGTTCTCTAGCTCCTTGAAGGAGACTGAGGGGCTCTATAAAACAAGGGTTTTTCATTTGTATGGGATTGTGCGGCTGTGGCTCTAAAGATGAAGGAATGGAGGAAACTTCTCAAGTCATTTTTTATTTCTTTGAAAAGAGAGACATCTTCCAACCTCCAACCAACTTTTCTTTCTTGAATGTAGATCCCCCCCTTGTGGTAACTTGCTTCTTCTGCACTGTTACAGCCACATTTTCTATTCTAATTCACTTTATTCTGTAGAGCAACCTGCCAAGAATTGTACTCCTGCTTGTTTTTACAACTAAAGGAAGGAGCTGAGTCTTCTAACAGAAAAGACCACATACCCCTAGCATTCTTTAGGAAAGGAATAATTCAGGTCACCCTAGAGGACATGTTGACTTTGCTGGCTTGTTCTCTTGTGAGTCAATAGGGTTAGCAAGGTCCTCAGTTTAGTCTTAATAGAGTATTGAATTGTAATAAAAGTTTTTGTAATAAAAAAACTTATTTTGGAGGGGAATTTATGTCATTCGTGTCTTATAATTTGATTTTTGTGCTATAAAAATTTTTGTTTACCAATGTAGTGGAGGTTGTTGCTTGAATCAATATGTTAAATCATCTTTCTATAGTTCATTTTGTTCTATTCTCTACTGCCACTTTATTACTAGCTAGGAAGACCTATTTGAGAGAATCTGAATTTTTGAGAAGGAAACCACATTAAAGTTATAAATTAAATCTCCCAACTCTTAGACCAGACTAACTGACTAGATTACTGGTTTACTTAAGTGCTGCCAGTTTATTCATCCATTTATTCATTCATTCAACCAACATCAATTAAGGACTTACTAAATGCCAGATACTCTGGTAGGGGCTCAGATAAATAAGAAGTCCTATATTCACTGTATTAGTCCTGTACAGCTATATAACAAGTTAACTGAAAACTTAGCAGCTTAAAACAACACACATTTATGATCTCACGCAGTTTCTGAGGGTCGGAGATCCTGGAGCAATTTGCTGGGTGTTTCTGGTTCAGGCTCTCTTACTAGGAGGCAGTTAAGCTGTTGGCAAGAGCTGTAGTCATCTGAAAGTGCAACTGGAGGTGAAGGATCTGCTTCCAAGTTCACATCATGTGGCATATCTATAGGAATGCTCACAACATGACAGCTGACTTTCCCCGGGTGAGTGATTCGAGAGAGACTGACCACCTACTCACAAAAGTTATATACCATCACTTGTGTTGAATTCTATTGGTCACACCAACCATCTCTGGTACAATGTGGGAATGAAGACCAGAAGAGGTGGAAATCAATGGGGGCCATCTTGGATGCTGGCTACTCCGGGTCCATTGTCAAGGTTGAATTACTGGTTTACTTTTTGCGGGCAATTCAGGTAAGTAAATTCCAGTATGTACACTAAGAAAAGTGGCTTAATAGGAAACTATACAAAAGGCAATAGGACGGGGCACTTTCTAGCCTGCTACCAACTCTGCCACAAGTATAGCACCTCCCCAGGAGAGCAGCCCCTCAGCCCCTCGTGCTAACAGTCTATTGACCAGCTGCTGCTCAGGCAGACTTGCCTTTTCACCAAGGCTGGTTGTTGGCTTATTGCTCTACAATGTTAACTGATAGCTTTGCCTCAAGGATTTGTTAACTCTTTGTCATAATATAATCCAAAGAGATCTGGACCACACAGATATCCCACCAGGATATCACACTGAACCATTACTTTGATGCCATTATGCTAATTAGACAGGACAAGCACAAAGCAATTATTATGTTGGAAGCCTTGCCAAGACACGTGTATTCCAGGAAGTAGGAGGCAAACCCGATGAAGATTAGGGACCCAGGGGATCAGAGGCATGCCAGATATCCCCTCCAAAATAAAATACAGATAGTTTGCATCTTGTAACCTTTCCACAAAGAAGAAGCCATAGAACCAGGTAGGCCTTTTTAGGGTCTAGAGGCAACATTCCACAGCTAGGAAAATTCCTCTGGCCCATTTACCGGGTGGTATAGAAAACTATCAGTTTTGGGTGGGGCCCGAGGGGGAGAGGGCCCTACAGCAACTCCAGGCTGTAATGCAATCAGCTCTGCTACTTGAGCTACACAGTCAGGCAAACCTCATGTTGGAGGTATCAGTGGTGGGTAAAGGTACAATATGGAATTTTTGGCAGACTCCAGTGGGAATTTCATAACACAGGCCCTGAGCATTCTGGAGGCCATGCCATTTGCTGCAGAGAAATAGATGCCCTTTAAGATACAGCTCGTGGCATGTTCCTGGGTCCCAGAACACTTGACTTCGGGACATTGTTACCACATATCCAGAATTGCCCATGTTGAGCTGAATTCTGTCAAATCCACTAAGTAATGAAGTCAGTTGTAAAATGGGTAACTAGGACAGAGGTCAATAAATTACAGCTCGTGGTTTGGCCACCTGTTTTTGTAAATAGTTTTGTGGAGTATAGCCATGCCCATTTGTTTATGTATTGTCTACGGCTGCTTTATAACAGCAGAGTTGATTAGTTGTAACAGAAACAGGTCCCCAAAACTTAGAATATTTACTTTCTTCCCTTTTACAGAAAATTTGCCAAGCCTCTGGGTAGTTAAATGTTATAAGAAACTGCTGAAAAGTTTTCCCAAAATGGTGTTTGTCTTTCTCTATCTGGCTAATTTTACTTAGCATAATGTCTTTCCAGGTTCATCCATGTTGTCGTAAGTGGCAGGATTTCTTTCTCATAGATGAATATTATTTCATTGTGTACATTTATACTGCATCTTCTTGGTTCATCCAGTTGATGGACATCTAGGTGGTTTCCACATCTTGGCTATTGTGAATAATGCTGCAATGAGGGTGGAAGTGCAGGTATCTCTACAAGGTACTGATTTCCTTTCTTTCAGATATATACTCAAAAGTGGGATTGCTGGATCATATGGTAGTTCTATTTTTAATTCTCTAAGGCACCTCCATACTGGTTTCCATAATGGCTATTTTACATTCCCACCAACAGGGTACAAGTGCTCCCTTCTGTCTACATGCCCACCCACATTTGTGATCTTTTGTCTTTCTGATGGTAGCCATCCCAACGGGTGTGAAGTGATATCTCATTGTGGTTTTGATTTGTATTTCCCTGATGATTAGTGATATTGGGCACCTTTTCACATAGCTGTTTGCTATTTGTATGTCTTCTTTGGAAAAACGTCTATTCTGGTCTTTTGATAATTTTAGGTTGGGTTATTTGGTTTTTGCTATTTTTTATAATTAATGAACAGCTTGCATCACTTCATTTTATTTTTTTAAAGATTTCATTTATTTATTTGTCAGAGAGAAGGAGAGAGAGAAAGCACGAGCAGGGGCAGCGGCGGGCAGAGGGAGAAGCAGGCTCCCTGCTGAACAAGGAGCCCGATGTGGGACTCGATCCCAGGATCCTGGGATCATGACCTGAGCCCACAGCAAACACTTAACCGACTGAGCCACCCAGACATCCCTATTTTTTGCTATTGAGTTGTATGAATTCTTTATACATTTTATGTATTAACCCGTTGGTTTGTAACCCTCCTGGAAGCTTCCCAGGTGCAATCTAAATTCAGCCCCCAATTTTCTCTTGCATTACAGTTCTATTTTTCTTATTTGTGAGAGTTACTTATATATTAAGGAAAATAGCCCTTCATCTGTGATAAGAGTTATAAAATTATTCCCAGTTTACTGTTTGTTTTTTCCTATGTATGTTTTGCTGGGCAGAGTTAAAAAAACTGAATTTGATTAATTTTCTTTTATAGTTTGAGTACTATGTTACACTTAGAAAAACCTTCCCTCTTTTAAGATTTCCCATGGTGGGGCGCCTGGGTGGCTCAGTTGGTTAAGCGACTGCCTTCAGCTCAGGTCATGATCCTGGAGTCCCGGCATCGAATCCCGCATCGGGCTCCCTGCTCAGCGGGGAGTCTGCTTCTCCCTCTGACCCTCTTCCCTCTCGGGCTCTCTATCTCTCATTCTCTCTCTCTCAAATAAATAAATAAAATTAAAAAAAAAAAAGATTTCCCATGGTGTTTTCTAGCCTCTTTTATGCTTCCATCTTTTATATCAATCTCTTATTCTTTTAGAACTTATTTTGATTTTAGGTGTGAGAAGTAAGGATTCAACTTCATTCCCCAGAGAGCTAGCTACTTGTCCCAATACCACTTCTTGAATTATTGAGTCTTAAACTCTAGAATGTATGTTGAATTTTACTAATGACCTGTTAAACATCTATGAATATAAGATTTTTTGTTTTAAACTATTAATAAGATATTAATTATATGAACATTGAATCATTTCTTGTAACATCATCCATTTCATCCAAGTTTTCAAATTTATTTGCTTACAGTTGAACAAAATTAGTCTCCTACAAATCTATAATTTGTTTTCTGTATCTG